TTTGAAGCAAAGATGGAATCCTTATTTTCGTTTCACAAAAATTCTGTGGCACACAGAATAGTTTCAAAAAAAAGGAAAACTATTGGATATTTTCCTTTTCATGTCTTCAATGTAACTCCTGTGACATTTGCGTTGAATGTTTTGGCCTTTTGCATTTGCAATCCTTTCATTTGATTGCATGCCATTTATTTAGCATATCACTTGTCATAACTGTTTAATTTCCCTGTGTCCCAACCGTACCTTCCTTTTCAAGTGGGAAGGTGGGCCTCCTTACAATTTTGAAAGGGTTTTTTGTTGATGGAATCACCGGCGTCTACAGCTACTTTGGAGCTTATTGCCCACAATCACCATCAGCAAGTGGTTGCCCACTTGCACCGCATCCATCGGTTGTTGTCGTGGATTCTCATTCTGCTGATTGTGCTATCTGTGGCCGTGATCATCCTGTTGGCGTGGCAGTGCGCTCGACAGACTTAAATTCCTGGATTCTCATTTGCATTTTCTTTGCGCTGTGTGTTATTAACCTCTTACCCACTTTCAAAGGATCCTCGTCGTCAACCTTCGCAGCTTGATCATGGGTGATTCGCATTCTACATTGGGGGAGGTATCGGTATCACAACATGAAATGATCACGTTTGAGCATGATATCAGTGAATTTTTGACATCTGAAGTGCTTGAAAGGTCATTGGAGAAGTTCTTGCGATCGAAGCCCCTGAAGCATGTTTGGGAGGATGGCATTTGGGGCCAAATCCTCATCAACAAACCACTGGACATGTATCGCAAAGAGTTTTTCCTCCGGCCTCACTTTGTACCTATGCCAGTGCTGCCAACTACGGATGAAACGGGTTGAAAAAAACGTAAAACGAGTCCGAGTGCAAGTCATTGGATGCAAGTGGTTTCATGCACGGATGTCCTTTCATGGCAAGAAGATGTTGATGCAAAGACTGACACTGCGCTGAAAAGGTGGTATGACATCGTTGTGCAATTTCCAGCGGTGTCAGACACAGTCAGACAACTTGGGCTCATTGACAACTTGGCGGAACAGTTGAAGATGCTGAGAGATGTCATGGCAGGCAAATCTCCTCTGACTCTGATCAAACGAGCCAACTCACTGCTGCGGTACGTGGAGTTTCTCCGTGAAAATGGAGTCAAGGTGCCGGGTTCTGAGCCTTGGTTTTACAAATTTATTTGCGATCAACGGGCAGATGGAGCGCCAGCGAGCAGGTTGCAGTCCACAATTGAGAGCATCCGATTTACAGAGCACACGTTTGGCATTGCTTCGCTTTGTGACAATTTACTGTCGAAACGTTGCTTGGGTGCGGCTCGGTTGGTGCAAAGCGGAGAGAAGAGACAAGCATCGCCTCTTACGGTGGACAACTCCTCCAATTGCATAGACACTTTAGGATGAGTCGCAGGACCTATGGGACAGGTTAGTGTGTGGCTCGGTGCTGGCAGCGACTTACACCAGATCAAGATGGTCTGACTGGCAACACTCTCACGCAGTCGAGTTTGATCCTGACCCAGAATTACCCGTCTATGTCGAGTTCAAAACGCGTGAGTATAAAACGAAGAAGGCAAATCTTTGGGTTGGCGGCGTCCAAGTTGCTGTGGCTCCTGGACTGGGAGTTGCGTCGAACAATTCGATTCCGATTTGGTGGAAGGTCAGGAATCGAATACATGCGCCTCTATCTGATGGTTTTCCGGTCATGCCGTCTCCAGGTGAGGATGGTTTGGCGACTCGCAGACCATTGAGTACAAGCGAGGTTGGAGCATGGGTGAGGATGATCCTCGGAAGGGAAGATCTTCTTGACCAAGAACATAGAATCACGAGCCACTCTTGCAAGAGTACGTTGCTGTCCTTCCTTGCAAAGTTCAACATCGACTTGCAGACAAGGGAAATTCTTGGAGGTCATGTTGGGAGATTGAAATCTGTCCTGACTTACAGTCGAGACTCCCTGGCTGGACCACTTCGATCATTGGGCTCAGTGCCCTTGGCAATCAGATGTGGCACCTTCAAGCCTGATGAGCTTAGATCAGGGCGTTTTGTGAAAAAGGTCAAGATCGAGATTGAAGACGAGACGACCCTACCAGTTTCCACGCCGGCTGACAAGCAGGAATGCTCACGTGGCGATCTTGACCCAAATCGACATGTGCTTGGAGATTGCGAAGTTTCTGCAGAGACAGCCATGTGTGAAAGCGACACAGAATGGGAAGTGACTTCGTCCAGCTCAGATGAGGGTGGAGCTGAGAAGTCGCATGCCGCTCGGTTGGTTACTGTTCCGACAGCGCCTGAAGGAACAGTCTTAGTCCAACATAGCAAATCCAAAATGCTTCACCTACTTAAGCAAGGCTACCGAGTCGCTCTGATGTGTGGTCGAACTCGCTCCTCAGCATATGAACCGCCGTTGAAGGTTCGCTGGGACACGGCCTGTTGCATCAGATGTTGGCGAAGTGCAAATGCTGAGGTGGGGCCACGTATAAAGTAACCTGAGCCCTCCTGTAAAAGGACGGTTGTGTCCGATCCTGTTGCTGGACAAACCAAGTAGCTCAAGTTAACTTTGTTTGTTGGTGTGGCTTTTGCCAAATGAATCAAATGGGAATTTTCAATGGCAATTTTCAGCCTGACTCGTTCGGTTAGGAGCATGTTCTCACGGACTTGGCAATTTGAGCCGAAATATTTTTGCTTCTTAAAGTCCATGTTGATGTGAGACAGCTTCCTTTGGCCATCCTCTTTTCTTGGCTCAGGGTGGGGAAGGGAATATGAATTCATTTTCCTCTTCTTTAAACGTAAAGTTTTCATGTAGAGTGCACATCGTGACGAATACTTTGCATGACATGTAGCCAAAAAAAATCAGTGATTCTTGAACTTCTTTGGCAATAGTTTTCCATTTTAGATCGATACGCGTACTCATGGCTTTGATTGACTCTGAGCATGCATTCAAGAAGCGCTGTGATGAGCTCAATGGGGAGTTGGCGGAAAAGTTGAAGGCTCAGGGCATTACCGCCTTTTCGATTCTCGCCTTCTCGATTGGGTCGCCCCAGAATCCGGTGGTCGAATCCGAGCTGAGTTCCTTTGCAGAGATCGTTTTCCAAAAGAAAGGTGCCTTAGGTGATACCGCCCTGCTCCGTAGGTTGCATTTTGAGGCATGCACGTTGTTGATTGCCGACATGAAACTCCAGACAGAGTGTGTGGATGCATCGGAACCAGCGCGCAAACTACCATTCATCGAGAAGCAGAGTCGGCTGGAGGCTCAGAAGAAAAGGATCAACGGTTTGCTTCACACCCCAGAACATGAACCAGCGCATAGCTTGATTGACATGGTGTTCACCGTGATGGAGACGGGAGCAATACTCTACATTCATCCAAGCAGGTGCCACTCAAGAGAGCAAGAGATTCAAGCAGAGAGCAAAGCAAGATCCAAAACATTTTTGACGCTTGAGCAAGGGGCCTTGAAATCAACAGCTTCGCATTTGTTGAGTGACCTGGACACGGGCACCGAGCTCAAGGTGTACTTTGCTCTTTTGAGACGAAATCTTGCCTTTGAATTGTTGCAATTTTTGTCCTGGGATGTTTGTCAATTGTGGCTCAACAAGTTGATGACATGCTTGGTAGCTGACACGCCAGCTGGGTTCCATTCTTTTCAGCAACACAAATCCTCAAGGCTGATCGAGAGATATTCACCCTGCTAGCGTCTGAGCATCAAGGGAGCCTCAAAGCCGCAGCCGGGGCAGGGGAGCGCCACCTTTGGACGAAGTGTTTAAGCGTTTGATGCATGATCCACGTATCAACGTGCATCTCATTTCGATGCCCAAGCAGTCCAGCAGTGGCAATTCAACACCAGCAAAGAGATTAAACGATAAGCCCCCAAATGGATCATCACCGCCTTTGAAGAGATCCAGGCAGAGTCATGCAGTGAAACCACCACCGCAGGCGGGAGGAACTGAAAGGCCTTAGGACCCGAACCAGTGCTGATAAGCCGTTGTGCTGGCACTATAACCTCAGCAAAGGATGCCAAAATGTGACTCGCCAGGGTCGATGCAGATTCGGGATGCAAAGGTGTATGAAATGCCAAAGGTCGGGACACGGCGCATCGACATGTAAGAGCGAATGACTAGCCAAAGCCATTGTTGCGAAAGGCCAGCCAGTTGGTCAAATCCGTGAGGTTGAGCCAGCTGCAACATCCACTGCTTGTGAATTCACAGAGGAAGGCCCTCGAGCATTAGAGGCCCTTCCGAATTTTCCAGACGATTTTGCCATCAGCCATGTTGACCAACGCCGAGGGGGTGTTGGCATGGTTTTAGAGATTTTTGCCGGGACGTGTCGCCTTAGCCAGGCCTGCCGTAAGCATGGTATGGAAGCCTTGTCCGTAGACAAAGACCCAAAGAGGTCCGAGCAAGCGCCAACTTTTGACCTAGGTAAGACAGAAGATTACGCTGCTCTGATGAGTTTTGTCGACCACGAAAGCTCTCGAATTGTTCATGCTCACTTTGCCCCGAGTTGTGGGACTGCATCTCGTGCCAGAGAAAAGAAAATCAAGGGCATTGACAACCCGCCCAAGCTGTTGCGGTCGGATCTGAAGCCGGACAGATTGGACGGCCTTGACGCTAGGGACCAGCTTCGAGTCAAGATAGCCAATGATGCTTATGATAGTATGGCCAGGATGGCACTAGAGCTAATTCGCCTTGGCATCTCGGTGTCCATTCAAAACCCCGCAAACTCCCTTTTTTGGAAAACTAGTGATTTTTTTTCGCAAAAATTCCAGGTGGCCATTCTACCAAATTTCACCATTGCATGCATGGAGGAGAGAGGGACAAATCCTCCTTTTTTGGTCTTTCAATCCCAGATGCCCTAAGGTCAACATGTTGGAAAGCCTAGCCCTTCAGTGCGATAACCAGCACAAGCATAAAAGTTGGCGACCATCCCTGGTGGATGGGCGAATGGTTTTCCCGACCGCTGAAGAAGCAGCGTATCCACGCCTGCTTTGTGATAGACTAGCATCGCTGTTCGTTCAAGAGTCCATTGAGCGTGAATTTAAGCCAGTAGAATCTTTGCATGAGCAACTTCAAGCTGACATTGACTGTGGGAAGAGAAATCTCTTCTCCTACCAGTCAAGAAGTACTTCTTTGAAACCTTTGGTCCCTGAGTGGGGCGCCACTCGCATAGTTCTGGTCCCAGTCACAGCAGTGCCGGACAGTAAAGTGCTAGCCCACTTCCCCAAAGGTTCACAGATCATTCGTCGTTTTCTTTGGCGGGGGTTTAAGCGTGACGAATGGAAAAGTGCAATGCTGATTGAAACTATACCACCAGACTGTCCCTTTGAAGCTTTGACGGTTGGAGTGCCGTTGAACCCCGAGGACTTCCTTGTAGCAGCAGTGAAGGCGGGGCACCCTAAACATTCATTCGCTCGAGTAGACGATCATATGCTCGGTGTCATCAAAACCGTCTTCCTGGAAGAAAAGCATGTGGTTCTTGGGAAAAGCATACAGGAGAATCCTCGAAGGCAAAAATCTTCTGTTGTGGAAAGAGATGTTGGTGGACCTCAAGTACCCGGACGCTGGCATCATTGACGAGATCATTGCAGGTTTCCCCATCACGGGATGGGCACAGTCTTCAGGTGTCTTCACCTCCAAAGTTAGACCACCAACTATGACACTTGAACAGCTGAAGTCTGTAGCCTGGTTGTCAATTCACTTCGGAACGCTGAGTGGACTGACATAGATGCCAGTGCTTGGACAGAGACCTTGACGGAGGCAGAGAAGGGTTGGCTTAGGAGGTCGGAGCATGTACTCTTGACCAGGTAGCAAAGAGATTTCCAATCGACCAACGTGGGAAGATAAGGTTGATCGACGACTTCAGCATCTGTGGTGTGAACTCCACCTTTGGCATGACAGAGAAGTTGAGGGTGGAATCTGTAGATGAAGTTTGCGCTTGTATTTCCATCGCCATGACGGAAATGAGGAGAGCAGGTGCCGAGGCCAAGATCTATGGGAGAACCTTCGACTTAAAGTCAGCCTATAAACAGTTTTCACTTGACGAGGAGCATGTTCAAAAAACAAAAATCGCCATCAAAAGTCCTGACAAGCAGGTGTCCTTTTTCGATGTGTTAGCGCTGCCCTTTGGTGCTACGGGCAGTGTTGCTGCTTTTCTCCGCATCTCGTCAGCGGTGTGTTACATCGGGAAGGTAGGGTTTTTGATACCATGGACGGCATATTTTGACGACTTCACGGCAATGGCCCCTGAAGGTTTGCTGAGCGAGACCACCTTCTTCGCAGAGAGCTTGTTCCGGATCCTTGGTCTGAGGTTTGCGATGGAAGGCGATAAGGCCCGCCGCTCGGCCAGACCTTTCGGACCTTGGGCTTAAATGTAGACACCAGGAACACCGCCAACGGTACCTTTGAACTTGGCCACACGGAAGAGAGGAGGAGCGAATCGAAAGCTTCAATCGAGGCTTTGCTCGGAAGTGGTGGGCCGATCAAAACAAAGTCACTCGAGCAGCTTCATGGCAGGCTTGTATGGTTCCGGTCCTTTGTCTTTGGCCGCAAGCTGAATTGGGCGGTGAGAGTGGTCTCGAAGTTCTCCAGGACTCACGAGAAGCGAGTTGGCCTCACTGACTCCTTGGTTGCGGCCTTGAAATGTCTTGATGGGTTTCTGAGTACTTGCCAGAACGTGAAGGTTGGTGTTGATATCTCGGCGACTTGGGTCGTATTCACAGATGGGGCCTACGAGCCGGATCAAAATTTTCCTGCGACAGTTGGAGGGGTGTTGGTAAACCCACAGGGCCAAGTGGTTTCCTACTTTGTGGAGGTGTTGCCCCAAAGCCTGCTGAGCGAATTCCTTGAGGCTTCTCGACACCCCATATATGAGTTGGAAATTTTTCCTGTCGTGATTGCGGTGAGGTTGTGGGCCAAACACCTGGCCGGCAACTTTGTGGTTCATTATCTTGATAACAATGCGGCGCTTGGGGCCTTCATTCGTGCAGATTCTGCGACTGAACTTGGCAAGGCGTTGCTGAAAGGGTATCTCGATTTTGAAGAAAGACTCAAGTTGAGGCCATGGTTTGCAAGGGTACCATCTCATAGCAACCTTTCAGATGCCCCTTCGAGGTTGGACTTCACATCGGTCTATTTGAGGGATGCAGCTAAAAGTGAACCTTCTCTTCCAGCGCACTTGGTGGACTGGGGTATTTCACGGGTGCGCTGACTTATCCAGCAATTATGCCCTTTTGTGTGAAAGTCTAACGGTTGGGAATTATGTCCAACTCGAACGTTTTGCCCCAGATGACACCTGCGCAATCTGGTGAAGAAAAACAGGAGCGTTCACGTTGCATTGCGTTTGTCGTTGTGCAATTTTTCTGTCATGACCGTTTCTTGTCCTTTCCTCGTTTCCAAAAAAAACATTAAATTCAAAAAGGTTGTTGTCAACCTTTGTTCTTGTTTGTAGCGCTCGTATTGCGCTTTATGTCTGCTTCAGCGTTTTGCGTTGCAAGCTTCTTTGCTTGCGTCTTGGCTCCACGCTTTAGCTTGTGAAACGGTTTTGTGTTCGGAAATAAGATGCTACTCTTTGAAGCAAAGATGGAATCCTTATTTTCGTTTCACAAAAATTCTGTGGCACACAGAATAGTTTCAAAAAAAAGGAAAACTATTGGACATTTTCCTTTTCATGTCTTCAATGTAACTCCTGTGACATTTGCGTTGAATGTTTTGGCCTTTTGCATTTGCAATCCTTTCATTTGATTGCATGCCATTTATTTAGCATGTCACTTGTCATAACTGTTTAATTTCCCTGTGTCCCAACCGTACCTTCCTTTTCAAGTGGTGGGAAGGTGGGCCTCCTTTCAATTTTGAAAGGGTTTTTTGTTGACCCGCCCCGTGTTTTGTCTTAACAATCCACTCCCAACCCTTTTTCTCCTGACACGTGCGTCAATTTTCTCCTTCTTCGCATCAAGGTACTTAGTGGGCGCGCTGATCTTTACAGCAGTTTTCACCCTGTTGGGGGTATTTCACGGGTGCGCTGACTTATCCAACAATTATGCCCTTTTGTGTGAAAGTCTAACGGTTGGAAATTATGGGGGGTATTTCACGGGTGCGCTGACTTATCCAGCAATTATGCCCTTTTGTGTGAAAGTCTAACGGTTGGGAATTATGTCCAACTCGAACGTTTTGCCCCGGATGACACCTGCGCAATCTGGTGAAGAAAAACAGGAGCGTTCACGTTGCATTGCATTTGTCGTTGTGCAATTTTTCTGTCATGACCGTTTCTTGTCCTTTCCTCGTTTCCAAAAAAAAATATTAAATTCAAAAAGGTTGTTGTCAACCTTTGTTCTTGTTTGTAGCGCTCGTATTGCGCTTTATGTCTGCTTCAGCGTTTTGCGTTGCAAGCTTCTTTGCTTGCGTCTTGGCTCCACGCTTTAGCTTGTGAAACAGTTTTGTGTTCGGAAATAAATCATGTTTCTCGGCCGTGAGAGCTGGGTAGTCAAGACGATGATCCCAAAGCTGGAAGCTGAGTTCAAACTGACTTACTCATTCGTTTCTCGAAAGACAGGTGGAAGTGTTGAATTTCTCAAACGAGCCCACATGATTGAACCTGACTACGAAAGGATGACAATCCATTCAGATGGTAAGCATATATCCACCATGATCAACAAGTTTTCTCGTGCTGATGGAGGAAAAATTCCCAAACCGTTCCGAACTCCGTGCGTGTCTTCGTCAAGCTTTGTGCCTGGTGTATCTAAGTCAGCAGCACAGTGACCTTGGCAACTGACTTGAAGAATCCTACATGAACTTCATGGGATCGGTTGCGACGCTTGGTAGGATATCTGCGATATAGTCAGGACTTTGCAGTTTGCATGGAAAAATCACAAAAGGGTAACACTTTTCTTCAGAAGCAGTTTGAAACAGAGTCTGAAGGATCCAAAGACAGACGAAACTGCATAGAAGTGTATACAGATTCTGACTGGTCAGGGTCAAGTGACTACAAGTTCTCCTCCTGCAGGAGCCAAAAGGCCATCGGAAGCGGAGTGGTACAGTGCCACATCAGGAGTTTGTGACAGCATGTACTTGCATCACATAGTGAACTTTATCACAGGGGGCGATGTGGAGAAGATCATCCTGCATGTCGATAACTCAGCAGTTCGAATGCTTTCACTGAAATGTGGTTCAGGTCGTCTACGACACGTTCATGGTCGATACCTGTGGCTTCAAAGCAAAGTGTCATCTGGGCATTTGACCATCAAACAAGTGAAAACTTTATACAACATTGCCGACCTCAACACAAAGCCACTGCCAAGGGAGCGTTTTATGGCACTGTTGTTCATGCTTGGGTTTGTGAACAATGAAGGACGTGTGGGAGAAGATGCATTCACACAGATGCAGTCAAGGGAGGTCGTGAAACTGCATGTGAAGTCCATTCACAAAACTGTCCTTGAAGATGACAGGATGCATAGATCGATAAAACATGAGCAGAACAAATTCACGAAGCAGATTCTTCGAATCCTGTCCACGTTCAGCTTGGTGCAGTTGAGTGAAGGTGCCTACTACTCACCAACTATTCACATCTCAGGTATTCCCTCATGCATCATGATTGTTATTTTGAGTCTGTGTCATTCGAGAGCATTTATCTTCTTTTTGAGCCTGGTTGCAATGTTCATCTGTGCAGACGGTACGGAAGATCTCGAGCGTGAATCAAAGGCCTTGAGCCCTACTGAATTCAAGTGTGTGTTGGGTGTTGGAGGAGTCCTTTTCAGCAGCATTGGATACATGATTTCTGGAAGTTCAAATGCAGATGGTGGAAGCTCTGTGGATGAACCTTATTCAGAAGAGCAAGATCACAGTGATGAAGAAGACCATAATTCTCGTGACACTTGGTCAGCCATGTGAGGTTGTACTGCACTATCTGTGCATGCGTTAAAGAAGCAGCGATTCTGAAAACACATCCTGATGAGGGTTTTCAGGAACAGGCCAATGGCATTCATGGTGAGCTGATCAGCATCTTCGAGTATTGTGAGGAAAATGGTGTGGATGCAGATCAAGTTCGATTTGTCAATATTCTTTTTACGGCACTTCAGAACATGGACAATGAATTTGCAGTTCGATTCGAAGAGACAGTCGAGGAGTTGATGGTCGAAGACTTTCTGCCAACTCATATTCCATCAAACTTGGAAACCTTGGATTTGGCTCCACCTTTCGAACCTCACAGTCCTGAAGACATGATTACTTGGATGCTGGAGCGACTCACACGTCGCATCAAATATTGCATTGAAAATGGCTTGATTGAAAGATGCAAAAGAAATGTATCTCGAAGAGACATTCTTGTGGCAGTCCTCAAAGTTATCACACGTCATCCCGAAGGGAGACCAAGAGCAATGCTCATGATGATGGACATTCCAGGTGTATCAGATTCAGACTGACCAGCAGCGTTAGAAATGTGGGCAGTGATGTATTCTAATGAACTTCTACTGCAATAGATTGAAACTTCGCCATGAGTTAACTCGATCTCATGGGAAGATGATATTTCCACGTGAACTGAGCGTAGCAGACGTTTCACTGAAAACGTTGTTTCGAGTTTTGTTGCTCAACAAGTCTTGCTGACAAAGTGAGTACAAAGCTCACAATGTCAGGGCGGGGTGACAACTTGTTGTGATGTTTTCAACCCGAAGGGGTGATAACTCTTTATTCTAAAGTTCAAAGGAATTTTTCTTTGAGTGCAAAGAAAATATGTGTCGCAAAATTTATGGCAAACCTTTGGTTTGTGCTTTTTCTTTTATTATGTTTTTACAGGCGTTTTTCCTGTTTAGGAATTTTACAAAATTCCTTTGTCGCTCTTTGAGCTTTACAACCTTCATAGTCCATGCTGAAATCTTTCTGTACCTCGCAAGATGTCCCCTCAAGGAGTGGGAGGGTGGGTTGCGGTTATTAACGCCATGCTTCTTCAATTTTGCCCGCCCTTTTATCCCTCCCTTTGTTTTGCAATATCGAATGCGATATTCCTTTTTTCTCTTTCCGTTTCACCTCATCCATCCCTACAAATGTGTGGGTGGATGACCCACGTGCTCCACTGTGCTGACAAAGTCAGAAAAAGATGTGTCTTTGAAGCCGATGTCGTTTTCGTTTGCATATTCAGGAGCTCCGCTCAATATGCATTCCCTTTTCTTTGACTGTTTGTATTTTGTGACACTTCCTTTGACTAAATGAATAAGTGATGTTTCCAACCCGAAGTGGTGATAACTCTTTATTCTAAAGTTCAAAGGAATTTTTCTTTGAGTGCAAAGAAAATATGTGTCGCAAAATTTATGGCAAACCTTTGGTTTGTGTTTTTTCTTTTATTATGTTTTTACAGGCGTTTTTCCTGTTTAGGAATTTTACAAAATTCCTTTGTCGCTCTTTGAGCTTTACAACCTTCATAGTCCATGCTGAAATCTTTCTGTACCTCGCAAAATGTCCCCTCAAGGAGTGGGAGGGTGGGTTGCGTTTATTAACGCCATGCTTCTTCAATTTTGCCCGCCCTTTTATCCCTCCCTTTGTTTTGCAATATCGAATGCGATATTCCTTTTTTCTCTTTCCGTTTCACCTCATCCATCCCTACAAATGTGTGGGTGGATGACCCACGTGCTCCACTGTGCTGACAAAGTCAGAAAAAGATGTGTCTTTGAAGCCGATGTCGTTTTCGTTTGCATATTCAGGAGCTCCGCTCAATATGCATTCCCTTTTCTTTGACTGTTTGTATTTTGTGACACTTCCTTTGACTAAATGAATAAGTGATGTTTTCAACCCGAAGTGGTGATAACTCTTTATTCTAAAGTTCAAAGGAATTTTTCTTTGAGCGCAAAGAAAATATGTGTCGCAAAATTTATGGCAAACCTTTGGTTTGTGTTTTTTCTTTTATTATGTTTTTACAGGCGTTTTTCCTGTTTAGGAATTTTACAAAATTCCTTTGTCGCTCTTTGAGCTTTACAACCTTCATAGTCCATGCTGAAATCTTTCTGTACCTCGCAAAATGTCCCCTCAAGGAGTGGGAGGGTGGGTTGCGTTTATTAACGCCATGCTTCTTCAATTTTGCTGAGGGGGGATGTGACATGACCGGCGATTCTGGTTTTTTGGATGTGGTGCCTAGAGATGTCGAACTGTATGGAGGTTCTTCTTCTGGTTCTGCAGTTATTTGCGACAATGGCATGAGTTCGTATGGTCTGCCTATCAACTTACACAATGGAACGGGCGGAATGGTGATGCCAGAGAGTGTTTCATCCAATTTTGACGAGTCGGTGATTGTTGCCTCCCCAACTAGTGACTCTCAGCAAGGGGCAAGTGAGGCGACAGAAGGCATTGATGAAGATGTTCAACATCAGGCCATCGCCAATCCACAGCCTCTACCGACCACAATGGATGCCTCAGCTTATGATCGTTTTCTTCATGAAGCTCATCTACAAAATAATCGCAAGTGTATGCCTCAGCTGCCGTGGGAAACGGGAATACTAGCTGCAATTTTTGGAGACGAGCAATCCATTCATTGCCGTGTCCCGATACCTGCTGTGGTTCCTGCTCCGGCTTTGGGGCAGTCGTCTCGTGATGACTATCAAGATGTTGACATGCCATCAAGTGCTTCAAAACGAAGATGTACCACAAGATCTGGGAGATTTGTGTCAGTGGCAGAACCGACTGCCGGGCCGGACCATGATTCCGAAGAAGTTCAAGTTGAACCTGTACACGACGAACTCAAGACATCGGGAAGCTCTTCAGCAGTGGAAGAGGAGTTGAATCAGAAGTTTGACAAAGCCGCGACATTGGATTATGAGGGCCCACTGTACCAGCATAAGAAGAGCAGAGTGCTGCACAAACCTCACGAACAGGGTGGACGGCTTCTGTGTGGAAGGAGCATTGGTGTGGCTTACAATTTCTTGTCACGAGGCTCAACATTCAAGTGGGCAAGATGTTCCTTATGTTTCAAGGGAGATGTCGTGACCAGTGTTGACGGCCTAGTTGAAGCATTTGATGCAGCACGAGCCAAGCGCAAAGACGCAGGGCGCTGATCGTTTCCAAAAGCATAAAGATCTCTGCCTGCCGTTGTCTTATGTGTAGCTCTTTGAGCCATTCGAATGTTAGTGCAGCTATGGTGGAATCCGGAGAAATTCGCTACATACCACCCAACAAATGCTTGACACGCCAAGCTGAATTGGCAGGCGACAAACCTGACAAAATGCTGAAGCTGGATTCGGCCCAAAATCAATTAGTCGTCAAGGACCACCCGAAGGACAGAGAGACTGATGTGACGAGTGACCTCTCATTATATCAAGCTATGACGAGAAGAGCACTTGCAACGGACTTGGTCGGCTTCGCTAGCTACGGCACTGTCATGAAGTTCGTGAATCGTCTGTTCAATCTTCTGAATCAGCAGCCTGCCGCTGGCTTCATGAAGCCTTCGACGTCGCAGCTGCTCCGCGCGGACAGGCAGTGTTTTATGCGGCTTGCTGAGATGGTGGCGCCACCGTTCACTGTCAATGCTGCGGGCACCTTGCCCGTCGATTTAGCTTTCGACCAGCTCCACAATGATGTCACAATCACCTACCATATGTTGCCAGTGCCAGCGCCCAAAAAGGCCGAGGAGGTAAGGCATCTCAAAGGAATGTGGCAAACAAGACGATGGGCTCCATCACCAAGAACACCAACACTCAATCCGGCTCCCAAGGGAAAGGCAAGCAGTCCAACAGACGTCAACCTATGCCTGATGCTTTGAAAAATATGCATTACAAAACGCCTGCTGGCAAGGCTATTTGCTTCAACTTCAACCTTGGCAAGTGCGCTGACAAAAATTGCCACAGGGAACATGTTTGCTGCCACCCTGGGTGCTACAAAAAGCACCCGCAGTTCGAGCATGGATCCCAGTGACTACCAGGCCAGAGTGTCAAGCGGCCTGTAGACACAAGGGAATCGGAATGTTTCGATTTGAATCAAACAAATGATGATGCCTTTGGCCACAGACCGTTTGTACCTTACGATGGCTCCTTCTGCATGGAATTATTTTCGGGCAGTGCAGTCTCACAGCTTGCATGAGAACTTTGTTTCCTAACAGTTTTGGAATAGACCACGTTGTGAAGCGTCCGAAAAGTCAAGTGATTTGCCTCGATTTTCAGAAACCTGAAAATCAGGACTTGATTGCAACGTGGGTCCGCGATCCTAGGTGCGTGTGGGTACATTTCGGTGTGCCGTGCGGCACCTGCAGTCGAGCAAGAGAGCGCCGCATGGCGCGCAACAATCATGGGCCGCCTCCTTTAAGGAATAAGACGTACCCAAACGGACTTCCACCACACATCCTTTCACCCCAATTGCTTGCACGACTTCGAGCAGCTAACAGACTTTACCTCTTTGTTCAAAAACTCATTTTGAGCTTGCCTGTGCAAACAGTGTGGACCATTGAAAATCCTCTTCGCAGTTGGTTTTGGCAAACTATTTATTACAAGAAGATCGCCAACCAGCAGCCGGTATCCTTTTTCCAGTTTGACATGTGTATGTTTGGTGGCCGCAGACTCAAACGTACCGGCATTGCCACCAATTGCAAGCACCTTGGGCATTTTGCCTTGGCCTGTGATAGCCAACACGACCATGCTCCCTACACATTCACTGATGGAAAGTTTGACACGGCCTCAGAAGCTGAATATCCGCTCCAATTTTGCCGCACCTTAGTTCAGGGAGTTGCGGAACATCTGCAACAGCTCCATCATTGGGGGCCTCTGAACGCTGCCAAGCGTCTCAAGACGACGCAACATGCCGCCATTGCTACGGGTACGCAGCCCAAGCGTGCCCCGCCGTTGATCCCGGAATTTCAAGCCATCAGACAAGTAGCTGGCCTCAACACCTGTCTTTCATTGCCTGTGGACTCCAAGTCCAACTTGACACGTTGCCTTCGCTTTCTTGGTAGCACCGAAATCACCATCCATACTGGCAATAAACTTTTGCGTCGTACTACTAAAAGGGGGGTTCCAGCACGACGACTAATGCAAAGCAAGTGGATGCCACAGTATCCAAAGATATGCTAAGACAGACCGTGACAACCAGTATTATTGCACCAGGCAACGACTGTTCAGACCAAGGGGTTCAACCCGCAACTTGTGGCTTTTGCAGTGGCGCCGGACTGGAGCCTATCCTCCTGGATACAACTGGCGAGTATGACGAGCTCGTCTTTGGTGTGTTTTGGGACGAGTTGCAGTTTCTGGAACAGATTGCTAAGGCGGGGCACCCTCAACATTTGTTCCTCGGAGTCGCAGATCACGTAGAAAAAGCTTTGTGTGCGAATGCCGTT